ATAACAACAGCCAACCCTGTCTGCCTGTGAGTGAAGTACAGAAACAATACGACAGTGATTGGCTGGCGCATGTGCTGTACCAATCGCCTGTGCTGTACCAATCGCCTTTGCTGCAATGTTTACGTGTCAACCCCGTGCCAAGTTACACACGTGAAATGTAGCATGATTGACGGTAAGGGCTAGTCAAACAGCACTGAACACAGCTGGGCTAGGTTGGGTTGGGTGTGGTAAGGAGGAATGTGCCTGGGTTGCGTGGGGTAGGTGTGTTGTGATGTGACTGGTTACAAAGGACTTAGCCGAAATTTTCCAGGTTACGGCGGGTATGAGGCGGGATGTGACCAGTTGTGAAGGACTTAGTCAAAATTATCCAGGGTACGTGGGGTATGGGAGGGGTGTGACTGGCAGTCGGAGGACTTAAGCCGAATACCGAGAGAACAGGGAAAAATCTAGGAGCATACCCCCCATTGAAAACTCTTCAGGGTGGTACATAGGCCAACTCTGATAAATCAGAGAAAACTTATACTTTCAAAAATTTACCCAGGACCATCAGAGTGGTTTTCAAAAACGACTCTGATTTTCAGAGAATCAGAGTTGTTGAAAGTACATCAAAAGACTTAAGCGTTTCTGAAGTGTAACACTACACTCGAGGAAGATTGCAAGGGGTACGCGAGTCAACGGAGGTTACACGAGGGGGCGGACAAAGAACACGAAGGGTCTGGGACTCAAAGGGTCGCAACTGGAGGTTGCGACTGACCGTTACAGCATCACGGATGGTAACCGAAGCGGCAATCGAGTCGCTATGCGACTCGATAAACCGTTCCTGTAACTGTACTCTGCAACTGCTTTCTTATCTTCTATATATTGCTGTATGCTTGTTTCTTTAATCAATCACTTGTTCTCACATACTAGTACAAGGGTTCAACTGTCTCAACTTCCGCTGCACTACTCCAAGTCTCAAGTCTCTACAGCTGGGACTTAGTCTCTGCAAAAGATCCTAAGGGCTTTTCTCAGCCCAACATGGTATCAGAGCTGGTCAGAGACCAAAACTCCCAGCAACTACACTCCATCAACAACCAGCAACTCAACTTGATTCAACAACTCCATTGATTACAAGACATGGACAACAAGGGCAAGAAAGTCTCTACGGGCTCACCCAGCGCCCAAGAAACTCAACACGGCAACTCTGGTCTGCACACCTCAGGACTGCAGACAGAGACCGGGACTACTCAAGAAACAACGGGAAGAGTACCAGAGATGGTGACTCCGTCTCCCTCTTCAAGTGTGGACCCGAATCTCATGGAGAGATTCTTCAAGTGTGGACCCAGCCGAGTACCACCACCATCAACACGAGGACCGCCAACGGAAGCAGACCAACTTATGCCCGCCACACGAGAAGCTTGTCGAAGTCCCGCCTCAATCGTCGCGTTCTTCTCCAACGCCGACATCTACCACCGCTCGCCCGGTCACCGTGCTCCCGACGACATCTGGCACCAACGCCTCGGACACCCTGCAAACAGCACAATACTTCAAACAATCCAAGCAGAGGTGTTAGAACGCAACGCCCTTCTGACGACGAGCGGTCAAGAACTTCGACGACCACGCGCACGGTGCTTCACATGCCCCGAAGCAGATCTTCCTCATCAACCTTTTCCATCCCATCACAACCCAAGCGCACCTACTTACGCTCCGATGGAAAAAGTCTACAGCGATATTTTAAACATGCCTCGAGACGACGCCGAAGCCGACTTTAACTACGTCATCACTTTCATCGACGCCGCAACCAGATATGTCTGGCACTTCAATCTCAAAACGCGCGACCAAGCCTTCGAAGCCTTCACAACATGGCTCCCCATCGCCGAACGAGAATCAGGACTCAAACTCAAGAGCTTCCAGTCAGACGGTGCACTGGAATACCAGTCACAACGCTTCAGGACCTATCTGGCGGAAAGGGGAATCAGACGCCTGGTGTCCCTGCCCTATGCTCACCAACAGCAGGGGGTAGCAGAACGCATGAATCGGACCTTGCAGACGACGATGCGAAAACTGCTTCAGGGGATGCGACTGCCAACCACACTGTGGCCAGACGCGATGACACATGCTGTTCACCTGCACAACCTGCTGTCCTCGTCATCACTTCCCAACAACGCATCACCGCACCTGTTGTGGACAAGAAAAAGGGGCAGCACAAAATTACTCAGAGTCTTTGGCTGCATGGTACAGTACAGACCCCACACAGCCCGAGCAGGACGCTTCACACAACGAGCTCGGTGGGGACTCCACCTCGGCATCGCGAAACATTTTCACGCGTGGAAAATTCTCGACATACAAGATAAAAACACGGTGGCATCACGAGACGTTATCTTCTACGAACGACTGACTCTGCAGCATTACCTGGACAACCTTGCCAACACACAAGACCCCACCGACGGCCTCTCGGGACTTCGTTCCTTCGCCGATCGTGCTGCCGAAGCTGACGCAGCAGAAGAAGACGTACCTGGAGCCTCGGAAGCTGCCGGGCCACTCCCATTCTGTTCCGTACCTATTCCACTAGATGAAGATAATCCCCTCGATAGCAACAACCTCGACACCTTTTACCACTTCGCCGACCAAGGTTACGCTACACCTCACCCCGTCGACACGAATATTTCGGAACGCATCGGCCCCAATTTCTTACCTGACCCCGAAGACGGTGACGAAGCAGCTTATTCCGGGAATGACAATTCCCCTCGACACACACCCACGGGACTCCAGATTCTAGGCCTCTGGGTCTCCGTCCAGCATCCGCCGCCGCCTTCTACGCGTGAGCCTTCAACATTGTCGCAGGCTCTGGGGGGGGAACATAAGGTAAAATGGAAGGAAGCGATGGAAAAAGAGTTAAAAGCTCTGCAAGACCGAGACACATGGAAACTGGTACCTGCAACGAGCATCAACGGGAAGAACGTTCTCTCGGGGAAATGGGTGTACCGCATCAAGACCAACTCAGACGGCTCCATCGAACGATTCAAAGCTCGATGGGTCGTACGAGGCTTCGATCAACGATACGGAACCGACTACACAGAAACCTTCGCTCCAGTCTCCCGTCACACCTCATTACGCATCCTACTCGCCGTCGCGGCCACGAAAACACTACCACTACGCCAAATCGATGTCGCGAATGCGTTCCTATACGCACCTGTGGACGCTGAGATCTTCGTCGAACAACCCCACGGATTCATCAACGACCCCACGAAAATATGCCGACTGACAAAATCCCTATACGGGATCAAGCAAGCCCCGCGGCTCTGGCAGCAGCATCTTCACAGCCGTCTCGTAAAAATCGGCTTCCTACAGCTACCACATGACCAAGGCATGTACCGACTGCAGAAGGGAAGAGATTACATTCTGCTCATCGTCTACGTCGACGACCTGCTCTACATCGGTTCTACCACCGACATCGTCACCTGGTTCGAAGGGGAGCTGAAAGGGGACCTGACGCTCACAGTGTCCGACTCAGTGACCCAGTACTTGGGACTAAATATCGTCGAAGACAACTCGGCGTTCTACCTACACGCTGGAAAGTACGCAGGCACTGTCGCGAAGAAATTCGGACTAACACCGGCTACCGCCTCAACTCCCTACCGCTACGGAAACAACAACAGCGCCTCCGCAAAACTCCCCGCGAAGCAAATCCAGGAGTATCAACAGAAGCTCGGCTGCCTACTATTTGCAGCAGTAACCTGCCGACCCGACCTGTCCTATAGTGCAAGTCAACTGGCGACGCATCTGAAGCAACCGGAACAGGAGGATCTCGAGGAGCTCAACCGGGCACTACTCTACTTCATCTCCACGCCGACGATCGGACTTACCTACAGCAAAGCGACAACATCGTCCGTACAACTACTCGGATACGTCGACGCCGACCACGCGGGAGATAGGGAAAATCGACGATCTAGGACGGGCTACATCTACCGACTAGAACCCATCGGAACTATCTCCTGGCAGTCGAGCAAGCAGGAGTTAATCGCACTATCCTCTGCTGAAGCAGAGTACATCGCCCTTTGTACCGCGACCAAGGAAGGACTCTACCTGCGAGAGTTACTCGAGGAAGCGAAGATCGCGACCCTGCCCGCCTTCTCACTCTTCTGCGACAACCAATCTGCGATCAAAATCGCAAACAAGGACGGCTTCGCCAACCGAACCAAGCACATCGCCCTGCGGTACTTCTTCGTCAAGGATGAAATCGCGAAGGGGAGACTTCACCTCAGTTACTGCCCGACGACAGAAATGGCCGCAGACTATTTGACGAAGAAATTGGCGAAGGCAAAATTCGACTACTGCATGGTGCTGACCGGACAAACAAACGTCATCGGACCTGAACAAGTCAGCACTCCAGAAACGAAGGGGAGTGTTGAAAGTACATCAAAAGACTTAAGCGTTTCTGAAGTGTAACACTACACTCGAGGAAGATTGCAAGGGGTACGCGAGTCAACGGAGGTTACACGAGGGGGCGGACAAAGAACACGAAGGGTCTGGGACTCAAAGGGTCGCAACTGGAGGTTGCGACTGACCGTTACAGCATCACGGATGGTAACCGAAGCGGCAATCGAGTCGCTATGCGACTCGATAAACCGTTCCTGTAACTGTACTCTGCAACTGCTTTCTTATCTTCTATATATTGCTGTATGCTTGTTTCTTTAATCAATCACTTGTTCTCACATACTAGTACAAGGGTTCAACTGTCTCAACTTCCGCTGCACTACTCCAAGTCTCAAGTCTCTACAGCTGGGACTTAGTCTCTGCAAAAGATCCTAAGGGCTTTTCTCAGCCCAACAAGAGTGATTTACTCTGATAAAATAAGCCCTGGTCACCCCCGAGAAAAACCCTGATTTTACCCTGAATCAGGGTAAAAAGCCTGTAATCTGAGGCCCTGTCTGGGGCCCTGGCTAGGAGAGGAAGTTGACGAGAGAAAAGAGGTGGAATAGAAGAGAGAGGCATACAAGGAGGGAGTTGTACCCTCTTCAGTAGAGTTCAGTAACACCTACCAAGCCTACAATTACATAACAAATATAATTTAACAGGTAGTACTGTCGCAATATTGACTCGGTGTTCCCCGTTGTTACAGTCTTCGCGTATTCGTACACTCACGCGAGACTCCAGAAATGCCTGAAGTTCTTTTATCATTTCCAACACATGCAAGCATTGTCTTTGGCATGGCAGTACCTGTCTAACGCCAAGGCACTGCTCTCGGGAGCATCATATATGGGTTACGTGTGAGCCCAGCAGCATGGCAGAATAGTAAGTGTCACGGCAAAATAAGCGTCCCCACATTTTCGCCACTAAGAGCACGCACAATGTTGCCAGGCACTGTCAGGTTGAACACCACCACTGCAGAGACACAGAAGGGGGAAGAGACGGGGCAGTAGTGAAGGTTTATCAATAAGCAGCGAGGAAATCGGATAGCAGCGCTCTGCAGTGTGAGCCAGAGCACATGCAGCAGGAGAGAGAGAAGAGAGAAAGAGAGAGTGAGCGAAGGGTGGGAGCAGGGGGTTGAGGGACACGGAGAGACCGAGAGTCAGAGTGCAGCGAGACAGATAGAACCAGCATCGACTGCCGTCAGACATACCCGGCAGGTGGTGTAGACAATAAAGCGTGGTGGCATTCCCTTCCTTACCGGACAGTCTCTTCTCTTGACAAAGTGTGATGGCAGTGGGGTCCATCACTCTTAGTTGATTGGCATGTACCCCATACCTGGCAGTTTGTTCTCGCAACAAAGCGTGATGGCGGTGGGGCGCCACGACTCTTATGTAATTGGCATACACCCCATACCTGGCAGTTTGTTCTCATGGCACAGCGTGATGGCGGTGGGGTCCATGACTTTGAGCTGCTGCAGCGTGACGTCGCGGTGCGACAGCAGCGGCAGCAGGCGCGCCTGGGAGTTGCTGCGAGGGTCCGAGTCAAACACGCCGTCCACGCCCGTGGCCTTGAGCACCACCTCCGCGTCGACTGAGACAGAGGGAAAGGGGGAGGTAAGGAGGAGTGACGTTAGGGGCAGCATCGTGGCCTTCGGCACCACCTCCGCGTCGACTGGGGATTTGGTGAGAGGGGATGAGAGAAGGGATGGGGAGGAAAGAGCAGGGATGACAATGCGGGATGGAGGGATGCGTTCAACATAACCTTCACTATCACCTCCCCGTCGACTGGGGAGGGAGGGAGGGAGGAGGGTGGGGGATAGAGGATTGGAAAGGGTGACAGAGAAAGGGGCATGCAGGGGTTGGTGCTGTCAGCACCAGAAGTGCACTGATTGGTGGACACAGCAAGTAAGGCGCAGGAAAGGCAGCATTAGTGGGGGGCCCAAGGGAGTGAGAGAGACAGCATGACACTGACAATGGAATCCGCATTCTCGTCCAGATTCGATGCCTTCACCCCCCACGTTATCCGCCCACTCACTCTCAGCGGCTGTCGGTGGTGAAGAAGGGGCTGCTGTTGCTCCTTCTCGCCTGACTCCCTTCCTCATCAACCTCCCCCAACCAGCCCCCAATCTCCCCCCATTTCACTCACTCTCAGCAGCTCTGAGTGCGGCGGCGGTGTCGGTGGTGAAGAAGGGGTTGCCGGTGCCGGCAGCAAAGATCACCACGCGCCCTTTCTCCAGGTGCCGCACGGCGCGCCGCCGGATGTACGGCTCCGCCACCTCGCTCATTCTGAACGCCGTTTGAACCCGGGTGGGGATTCCCTCGCTTTCGAGGCTCGCCTGCAGGAAAATTCCGTTCATCACCGTTGCAAGCATGCTGGGGGGGGTTCGGTGAAAGGCGGGAAGTAGTTGTGGGTTGGGGCCAGAGGGAGGGACTTGAATGAGCGCTGGCGGATGTACGGCTCCGCCACCTCGCTCATTCTGAACGCCGTCTGAACGCGGGTGGGTATGCCCTCGCTCTCTAGACTAGCCTGCAGGAATATGCCGTTCATCACTGTGGCTAGCATGCTGGGGGGAGATCGGGGGAAGGTGGGAGGGAGGGGTGAGTGTTGGGGGCAGTGGGAGGCATTGGAATGGGCGCCGGAGGAAGTATGGCTCCTTCACCTCGCTCATTCTGAAGGCGGTCTGCACGCGGGTGGGGATGCCCTGGTTCTTGAGGCTGGAACGTAAAAATATACCGTTCATTCATTCATCACACTGCAGAAACTTGTCAGCACGCGTGCGATATAAGTTTCGTTTTGAGTCGACTCAAAAGTGGGCTCATAAAGATACACCGTTCATCACACTGCAGGAGCTTGCCAGCATGCAGGGGAGAGAAGGGGGAGAGGGGATGGGGAAGAGGGGGAGGGGGGAAGGGAAAGCGAAGGACATGAAGGGTGTAAGTTAGCTGGAGAGAACGGCAGAGAAGAATGGGCATTTGGAAAGATTGATGGCCATTGGCCATCGGTCATCCCACCATGGGTCATCCCACCATCGGCCATCCCACCATCGGCCATCCCACCATCCTCAGTAAAAGCTGACGCCTTTTTAGCCCGCTGACAACCACCCCACCACCCACAAAGCTTGCCAAGAATCCATGACACCCAGTCAAATTCCTTCACCCACCCTATCTTCTACAAGCACCCACCCCATGTGGTCTGCCATGTCCCGTTCACCCACCCTATGTGATCCGCTGACGCCCTGTCCAGCCCACTGACCCCTGACCACTTGGCCCCTCGGAAGAAATTGCCCCCGCCCACCACCACTGCCACCTGGGGCAGGGGGCAGGGCGGAGGAGGGGGGGGGGAGAGGGGGGTTCTGAAGGAAGAGTGGAGAGAGTGGGAGAGGTTACAGGCAATACACCGGGTTGAAGGGGGGTGGTGGGTTAGCAAGCGGCCGACATTGCGAATGGGGGATTGTGTAAACCCACTCCTTCTCATCCTCTCATCCTTGTCTCCTCCGCTTCCCCACCAAACCAGCAAGCCTCCCAAACTAGAATGCTCCCTGCGCAAGTAAAATAAGTGCGTGCAACCCTTGATCAGGCACCCACCCAACCCCTCTCCATCTCCCATCCCCCCCCTCCCTCTCCTCACCTGCACGCCTCTGCGGCTGATGTGAGCTACCTCCCGAGCAATGCTGGCAAGGATCTGACATTGGGGGGTGCGACGGTCAGAAGGGGAGGAGGAGGGGGGGAAGGGGTTGAAAAGGATGGCGGTGGTGGTACCCCGTGGGTTGGGAGGAAAAGGGGGGACAGGGTACTATGCTGCGGCGAAAGGCTTGCATGCAGTGCTGACAAGTTGGAAAGCGTGTGTGGGGGGGAGAGGGGGCGGGCAGGAAGGGGGCGGGGGGGGCGGGGTGGTGGGAGAGGAAAGGGAGAGTGGACGAGGGAGAGAGCAGAGGCGCTCTTGTTCTCATACAATACAAGCACCAGTATTTTCGAATCACCACCACCACCCACCGCAGCATCGATGTTGGACGACCCATCCCCAGCCAGCGCCTCCCCACTGACTTTCAGCAGCACCCGCCGCCACCTGGGCCGTGCAGCCCCTTCACTGACACTGCCCTCCCTCTCCTCAGCTGCGGCTGATGCTGCTGCCCACGCCGCTGCTCCCACCTCACCAACGGACAACTTCCCGACCTCCTGCCCAGGGTGGGGTGCTGCGTGGTGCTGCTGCTGCTGCTGCTGCTGCCGGTGGTGATGGTGCCGGGGGTGTGTTTGTGTATGGGAGGGCGAGTGTGAGAGAGAGTGTGAGTGAGCCTCTGGGGAGCCATGACCGTTGGAATAGCGCTCACTTGCGTCTGAGTGTGAGTGTGTGTGAGCTGTACTGTGCGCCTCCCCTAAACTAAGCTCCGCGTGCTCTTGACTGTGACCATGGCTGCTGCGTCGCTGACTACTACCGTGGCTGTGGGAAGAACGGTGCTGGTGGTTGTGGTGGTGGTGATTTGCCTTGGTCTTTTTCCCCATGGCGGTGTGTCCGTCACCGCCACTTGCGTCATGCGATGCAGCGACTACACCAGAGATGCGCCGTGTGCTTCTAAGTCTCCTGCTACGGGTGGGTTGGCGGGAGGAGGGTTCAGGGTTTAAGGTTGGGCCGATGACATTAGCAGCCGCGTTACTGCAGGCGGAAAAGGGGCGGAATGATATCGACGGCGAGCTGCACGAGGGTAGGTGGTACGCCTGAAATTGCACATATAAGTGGGGTGCGGAGGGGTTCGAATAGTCGGATTAAGTGCAACTACAAGTCGAGCACACTATTGCGCCCAGCCTTGAACGAACAGCCGTGCAGCGAAACATTGCAAACGTACAAAGGCGGCGCGGCGCAGGCTATATCCCACATTTCCCCTCCTTCACGCTTCCCCCATCAGTCAAACCCCATCCCCCATTCCCCACTCCGCTTCCCCCCATTCCTCATGCGACTATGCATGGCAGCCTGCCCCCACCTGTCTGAGGAAAGGCGGAAATCTGCGCCCTCCGCGGAAAAAGCGACTGCCGGCCGCGGAGACGGCGCAGCTGGCCGACAAATCGCCGCAAGGCGGGGCGCCGCCGCGGGGCTGAAAGTGCGGGGATTGGCGGAAGCTGGTGGAGAGTGGGGGAGGTTCAGCGAATATTGCGCGGCAGAGGGGATGAACACCGGCGCAGATGCCATGGGCGCGGCGCGTGGGGAGGCGAGTCCGCGGGGAGAGGAAAACTGCACGGAGAAAGGAGACCGCTACAGGGAAAGGCGTGAATAGTTGTGTTAAGGCTGGTGCTTGGACTGCGGGCTAAAAAAGCAGACGGAAATTATGCGCGGGATACTGGTTAGTAGGAGCAATGGCGACAATGCTGCTGATGTCGCTGCTGCTGTTGGTCAGAAAGGAGAGCCACAGAACCTAGGGACAAGAACTGTTATGAATTAAGAAGAGTAATACCGTAATCCCCCGTATATAACACCCTATGGTGTATATAAAAATTCACTATAAAAAATGACTGGGTGTTAACCGTGGCCCGGAAAAATATAGTGCCCATGTGTTATGTAAAATGCAATTTGAATTTCAGTGTTTCAGGCCATGTGTGTTCACAAATGGGCGGAGCGACTGTTAGCGAGGTACAGCATCCGCTAAGACGAAACTCACGAACAGGGCGTCGTTGGCCAATCCCTGCTGAGTGCTGTGGTCAGGGCCAGGTTCGTGCCGCACCTGCGTCTTAACATAGAATCGAATGTCGAAAGAAAACAGTACAAGGGTATCAGCCTAAATGTTGTACCCTCTAAGATACAAACCTATACAGTCTATACAAACTTAAACTATATATATGTTTGACACACCCCCTAGACTGCATAGGTGCAGTTCCTGATGAGAGAAACGGCAACTCAATGCGGCACTACTAGTCCAACCTCTGAGTCAAGGGTCTAAAGACCAGTCAAACAAGTACAGACCAGTGCAAGGGCAAGACCAGGGCGGCACTACTAGTCTAGCCACTAGGAGAGGCCACAAGGCTAGTCAAGAACAAGAAAAAAATATAAAGGTCAATACATAGTCAAGGCCCTAGCAGGTGAGAGGTAATAGGAACAAGGCCTAGCTGTACACAGTGCCGCTGATGATCTTTAGGCGCAAGGGCCTTCGTAAAGATATCAGCTGTGTTGGCATCGGAGGCCAAGTGTACTACGCGAGCCTGGCGACGCTGCTGCAGCTCGCGCAGAAGGAAGTACCGCAGCTGGATGTGCTTTGCTCTGCCCTCAAGTCGAGGCTCCTGGCACAAGAGGATCATGGCCCTGTTGTCAGCGTACAGGACTGGTGCAGAGCTAGGCCGCTCACCTAAGTCAGTGAGCAGGAAGGTCAGCCAGCGGAGCTCCTGTGCCATCATGGCACCGGCGTAGATCTCGACCTCACAGCTGGACTAGGCAACAGACGAGGAGCGAGTAGCTCTCCACGAGACAGCACCTGAACCAAGGCTAAAGCAGTAGCCCTGCGAGGACCTAAGGGTCTCAGCGTCGTCTGCCCAAGAAGCGTCTGTGTGCCCAGTAAGGACCACCGGCACTAACCCCATGCCTGATGTACTTGCGAGATAACGCAAAACCCTCTTAGCTGCAGACCAGTGCTGAGGTCTGTGTCTGCCTGTGGCCACAAAGCGAGCCAGGATGCTAAGAGGGTATGCGAGATCTGGACGAATGCAAGTCATCAGGTACATGAGGCAACCCATCAGCTCTGCGTAAGGACCACTGGGCTCTGCTGACTCCTCAGGAACTGGAGCAGAGAGCCTGTGATCTACTGGAAGAGGTGTGGGCTGTGCGCTGGAGAACTGAAGACCGAACCTTTGAAGGACCTGGCGCACCAAGTGTGACTGGGTGAGAGTGATAGTGTGCGCTGCTCTGTCCGAGGAGATCTGCAGGCCCAGGTAGTGGCGCAACTCTCCTAGGTTAGTGCAGTTGTGTCTCCTCAGGAGCTCAGCCTTTACAAAGGCCAGAGCGGTGGTGTCTGCAGTGGCAAAGACCAGATTGTCTACGTAAACAAGGATGTAGAACGGAGTCTAGCCATAACGAACAAAGAGCGAGGGGTCTGCGGAAGACGGAAAGAACTGCAGGTCTGCAAGAGTAGCACGCAGCGTGTCATGCCACTGGCGGGGAGCCTGACGCAAGCCGTAGACTGGGCGCCGCAGAAGCCATTGTGTCCCAGGAGGGAAGGTACTTGTGAAACCCTAAGGGCGGCGCAGGTAGACCTGCTCGTGTAGACTGCCCTGAAGAAACGCAGTGGAGAAGTCGAGGGAGTGTAGCTCGTAGTCACGCTGAGCTGCTACGTGTAGCAGTGCCCGAAGAGTAGTCATCTTCGGGGTCGAGGCGAAAGTATGAAAGAAGTCCACCCCCTCACGCTGACTAAAGCCTCTAGCCACGTAGCGCGCCTTGAACACAAGCGGCTCTCCAGAACGGCGCTTCACCTTGAAGAGCCAGCGGCCATCGACTACGCTCACCCCAGGTGGAGGAACTGCGTCGAGGTAGGTGCAGGTGGATCTCCAAGATGCCATCTCCTGCTCCATGGCAGCTATCCACTGAGAGGCCCAAGGTCCCGAGGTCGCCTCAGCGTAAGTGCCAGGGGCCAGGATGTCGAAAGGTAGCGGAAGGTAGTCAGACAGGGGGGGAGGCGCAACAACAAGAGAGGACGGAGGCGGCGACGGTAGGAGTGGAGAACGAGACGCGTGAGAACGAAGCGACATAGGATGAGAGCGCGGGACAGGGGAGACGGGGCGAGCACGGGAGGGACGACGAGACCAGACGTGAGACGGAGGCGTCGGGTCAGGAGACAGAGGAGGGGACACAGGAGGGGAACGAGGAGGAAGACGAGCCGGTGACGAGTCCGGGGGAGGGAACACAAGGTCGTAGACAGGAAGGAGAGGAGACGGCAGGGGAGGCATAGATACGTGGTCAGGGGACGGGAGGCCGGCGGTGACTGCTGCTGCGACGGCACGACACCGACACTGGGACGGCAAGCTGCTCCATGGCTACCTCCGGAACACTCCACTCCAGCACCCCCAGAAGGAACACCCCGAGAGCCCGAAACCCCACGAACAGCGGTACCATCCCCAGGCCCGCCGAGACAAGCCACGACAGGAACCCCAGGACTAGTACCCACCCCAACGCCAACACCCCCAGAGTCAACGAACTGCTGCTGCGACGGCTGCGGCGACGGCTGCGGCGGCGGCGGCGGAGGAGGCGACGCTTGGGAAGGGGTAGGCGGCGAGGACTGCGCTGCAGGGCCACTAGAGTCAGCAAACTCCTCGACCGGGACAACCGACGGGAGGGGAGTGACGTGAGACACACCAGACGGTGCAGGACGGGGAGGGGGAGGGGGGGGGACAGGGGCGACCGGGGAAGGGGTGACCAAGAACAGGGGGGGAGTAACCGGGGACCTCTGTGGGGGAAGCGGCAATAGAAGGAGATGGACTCGTCAGTGGTGACGTCACAGGAGTGAAAGAAGTGCCAGTCGGACACGTCAAGGAGGAAACCGAGGAAGATGCAAGGGAGGGTGCGGGCAGTGAGCTTGTCCGTGCCAGAGGCACGAACGTGAGCAAGGCAGCCCCAGACGTGAAACGCAGACGCGTCACCAGGAGACCCGGACCAAAGAAGGGTCGGCGAAACATGCGGCTGCTGGGGGTGCGGCCACAGGTTAGGCTGGTGAGCGGCGTAGCGAACAGCGAGCGGCCACAGAAAATGGGGTGCAATGGCATGGATCATGGAGGTACAGGCCACCTCCATGACCAAGCCGATGCATCGCTCAGCGACCCCATTCTGCTGCGGGGAGTCCGGCAGGGTGAACGTCTGGGTGATGCCCTCCGCTCGACAGAAACGACCAAGGACACCAGAGGCAAACTTGCCACCACGGTCGGAGTGGAGACGCAAGACAAGGAGTCCACGGTGGACACGCGCAGAGACAAGCCACGGGATGAGAACGTCAGGCATGTCGGCCTTCCGCTCCAGGGGGAACGCGTTGGTGTAGCGCGTGTAGTCGTCGACAAGCACTAGGAAGTAGCGCTCTCGACGCGGCCCATGGACGGGGGCGGGGCCCCAGACGTCCATGTGTAGAGTCTGTAGCGGTGCGGCAATAGGGGGGAACGAGGAGGAGTGAGGGGCACGGCGGAGCCGGCCCTTGACACAGGGCGTGCACGGTGGTGCTGGGGAGGAGGGCAACTCGGGGAACGACCCTAGGAGACCTGGGACAAGACCGTGCTGTGACATGTGACGCAGACACTGGAAGGCGGGGTGACCTAGACGGTGGTGCCACAGGACTGTCGGGTGAGTGAGCGATCGACAGGCGCAGGCCGCAGCAACCTGGGTAGACGCAGCCACTTGAGAAGACGTCCCTACCAGGGGGGTCGCAGTGTCCAGAGTGAACAGGTCGGACACCGGGTCTTGGGGGAACGTGATGAGGGGGGCACCAGTGGCGGCCTCGGTACAGACAGCGTACCGCTCGTGACCGGGGAACGTAGTGGTGACGCCAAGGTCCTGGAGGCAGCCGACACCAGCTAGGTTCCTGGAGAACGAGGGGATGTGCAGGCCTGTAAGAGAGCCCGAAGGAACCGCCGGACAGGGAAGGGTGGTGGAACTGCGAGCGACTACCGGGCCGGAGGAGGGGTCGGCAAGGGAAACTGCAGCAGGAGTAGCAAGAGGCGTTAGCGTAGTGGAGTCACGAAAGAAACACCGAGAAATGCCAGAGTCAAGGGTGAAGGAGAGCGCAGCGGTGGCGTCTGAAGACAGAGCAGCGACAGTAGAACCTAGGCTAAACAAAGCAGGGGATCCTACGCCTGACGCAGCAGGGGAGGCAAGACTAGACATGCCTACACTAGGCAACAAGGGGTAGTAAGAAGCAGTCACACTAGAGTCATCAGCATACATCACATGCAAGGCAGCAACAATCTCATCCATGTCCATATCAAAGATCTGAATGCTACGGCAAAGCAAGCTATGCCAGTCGGGGAGGTCGGGCGATGGGCGGAAGCGCTGACAAAACAGGTCGTCCAGGCGACGGAAACAGCGGACAGAGGTGTGACCGATCTTATCGCAAACCAAACCACGGCGAGGACCAGTCTGGAGCTGATATTGACAGCGCGCGTCACCTGACCCGCCACCTGGCAGCCCACCACGCGCACGACCACCACGTCCACCGCCACCACCAGCGCCAGGCCACCCGAGCGGGAGGCCACTAGCCCGCCTCTGCTACTGAGGCTGGTGTGAGGGCTGCTGCTGCGGCTGGTGCGTGTCGGGCTGCGACACCTGCGGCTGCTGAGGCGGCTGCTCTGCTGCACCTGTCAGGGTCCCCTCGTCACGCTACCACTAGGCGACCCGACTCCACCACCACCTCCACCTGCACTGCCA